AATATAGGCAAACAGGATATTAGTTTTTGAAGAAGAATGACAAAAAATATCTCCAAAAACTAATTATAAATGTAAGTATAATTAAGCTATTGTAAACGACCTAAGTTAAGCTTAAATAAGCGTGCTCGCTCGCTTTACTTGCTCGGATTTATACGAAAAATCAAAAGCTTCAAACCAGTTTTTCTCGACACTGGGTAAACTTTTTCGAAATTTTTAAATGTCATTCGAATCACGACTGAAAGGGCTTTAATATGATATATCACAACTCTCTCTGATGATTATTCGTGGTAGCTGATTTTGCGTGGAAAACAAAATCAAATGAAAAACTAAAGCACACCCGAATACAAAGTTCCTCCCCATTTTTCAAATGGTCGGAACAATGCAATAAGTAAATACAACATGCACATACAATTGAATCTTTCACACCAATCGCAAGAAGTTAACATTAGTTTGAAAAGTGAAAAAGCTTTTTCATTGCAGTCTGAAATTAAGCAGACGTGTTTTTCTCGCTTTTCGGGAAGTTAATATCCTCCTCCTTAAAGCAGTTTGGAGGCGTTGGTGAAGGGAAGTTTTTAACTTGAGCTAGGAAATCTTGTTGAAAGTACTTTAAGAATTAAAATCACGGCTAAAAGGGTTTTACGACTCCCTAAAGACTTTTTGAGATGCTTGACATTGTATGAAAAATAACGACCTCCGCCTTAGTTACTTCACAATCTGTCACTTCGTGATCTGTGATAGTGATGAAACCACCAGCGGATTTGGGAGGGCTGACGCCCCCCCCCCCATCAGGGATTCGACCCCTGCCGACCCAAAGGGCCCCCTGTATACTATTTTGAGATACCCATTTTTGGCTGACTGGCCCCAAATTTTTTCTAATGGCGCTTTTGGCGCCAATATATACTTAATTTTCAGGGGAAGCGCGTGCCGAAAAAACGCGATTTTTTGGGCAAAATTTTCGAAATAAGTGCCTAAAAACGCCTTTTTTGGCCTGTTTTTATCAAAGTGGATGCGGCACAGAAAATTTATTCAGAATAGGGTCTTAATAGTGATTTGTAAGAGCTCGGAAAATCAATTTGGTCGGCCTAAAAAAGGGTCGACAAAATTGTCAATTTTTTTTTCGAAAATCCTGTATCTGTCCCTGCTGGAAAAATTGAAATGGATTGCGATCCAGTGGATTTGTTCTTATTAATGCTTACAACTTTTAATTTATTTCTCCGCCTTTTGTTTGGGTCCAGTTGGTTGAAGTGAATCTGATTCTCAAAAAAAAGTCGTGTGGGCATTTTTTTGTGAAATTTTGAATTGTTTTTGATAACTTTTTTCTTAGTTCTCTGTATGTGCGTGTTTTTCTTTTTGCCAAGCATTGAAGCTGGACATGTTTTGAGCTAATAGAAGATTATAGTTTGATATTTTTGAAATACTGAATAGGATGTTTTAATTTTTCTTTCCTTTTTTGTGTTAATTTTCTCTCTTATGTGAGTGCGTGATTGTCTTTCATTTTGCGAAGCTTTTGAGCTAAACGGAAATTTTTTGTTTGATATGTTTAGAATACTGAATCAGTTGTCTTCATTTTTTCTTTCTTACTTTCCTTGTTGTTTTTTTCTCTCTTTTGTGAGTGCGTGATTAACTTTTGTGTTCAGCTCAACATGTTTTGAGCTAATATGAAAATTTTAGTACGATTTGTTCAAAATACTGAATCGTTTTTTTTAATGTCTTTCTTCTCTTTTTTTTTGCTTATTTTTCTTTTCTCTCTTTTGTGAGTGCGTAGCTTTCGGGGGGTAGGAAACTAGACGACAATCAAATTTTTCTTAATCGTCTAAATGCACAAAGAGTTATTGTCAAAATTCCATTTTATTACGGTCGTCTAAATTGATTGTCGTCTGATTTCGTAGCCCCCCCCCCCATAGCTTTCATTTTGCGAAACATAAATCTCGACATGTTTTGGACTACGTAATTAGGTAAAATGGTTAAATTTGGCCTTTGATTTTATCCTTGAGTGACTTATCAAAGCACTAAAATTACGCTTATTTAACGGTTGTTTTCTCTGATAAGTTGTTGCTTTAAATGCTTCCGGCTTTAAGCTTTAAATGCTTCCGGTTCAACATTGGTGATATTTAGACGGCTTAAGTGTTTGAGTTAAATGAGTTGTTGGCTATGTGTTACAAAGCTCTTCACTGGCTTTGTCGAAACTTAAACTAATCCAAACTGTTGCCTTGTTGGATACGCTCTAGTGGTTTTGATTGATAATAGACGTAGACTATTTATTTGTTCTTTTTCTATGAAGCTGAACTGGTACAAGGTGGTTTCCCAGCGGGAAGTTTCCGTTTTGGATATACATTAGGTTGGAATTTTTGCATTAGTATATGCGTAGCTTACAAGAATGTCGGTAGTTTTGTGTCGCTAGCCTCAGGTTTCGCCATTTTTTGTACCTACATCTAACTACTCATGCAAAATATTCGCTCGTATAATATATCTTAAGCAACATCCGAGGAGTCACGTTTCAGTGTTTCGGACAGCGGGAAAATGTGCAAGTTCCCGATGTGACTAGCGTTTAAAGTCATTATTTTCAGGCTAGGTTTCTGTTAGGTTCTTCTGGGACTTGAATATTGAAAATGATATTTTGAATACTTCTGTCGTTTCGATAGGCTAGATTTCGAAGTGTTTTTCTGCTAAGCACATGTAGAATCCAATTAAAACGCAAGTCAGAGCCCCTACCGTGTAATTTGAATCTGCGCTTTTCCTTGCTTTCACTCTTTGTTTTCATAACTGATAAATCCCGCGTCCCCTAATGCAATTTCCGCTCTGCTGAAATGCGACGCAAAATAGCTCATTTTTGTGTAGTTGGTATGAAAATTAATCGCTGCTTTAATCCATTTCCAGTTTATTTTTATATGACTGATGTAGTTTTGCAATCAAATAAGAAGGGCTGTCCTTAGCGATCAGTCTGAAGCGATAAACCACCCTCGGTGAAGAATACTAATTGGATTGTAACAGACTTGTTACGGACGCGCTGGCAAATTCTATCCCTACAGTTATATTTTATCCTTGAAGACTTTCCATTATTTTTTTTGTTATTGAAGGGACTTTGTTTTGACCTTTCAACGTCAACATAAATGGCAGAAGACATTTGATCTTGCGCAACTAATTGAAGAACTAATTTTAGCGGCTTTGTTCGCGCCAATTTGATTTCAATTAGTGATTGTGATTTCCTGTTTCAATCCTTTTTAGGAACTGCTATTATTGCCCATTTTTCCTGCATTCTTAGGGCCGCACAAATTACTCAACCCAATATCAAAGTCAGCGGAAAGCGAAGCACTGGTTACCTCCTGTGTACATCCTTTCCTAGTTTTATTCACTCACTTTGGCTATTTTCTGTTGATCAATTTTTACCAACATTTTAATCTTTTCTTACCTTGACACCTTATATATTCTCCAGTTTTTCTTGCATTTTTTCATGTCACTTTTTGTGAAGTAAAGAAAGACACTTTTCGAACTCTGCTAGCATCATAAATGAAAGTTAGCACACAATTGTTGTCTTATCAATTGAAAAAAAAGTTGAAATTATAAATTATTTCGTTACATTGCTTGTGAAAATTGTCAGCCGTATTTGCTTGTAATGTAACAGACGTAGTAATAAATAGATAAAAGAAACATGTAAAAAATCGGTTTGTTTGTTAAGTCTGACTGTCACGCGAATTATTTTTACCGATTTTAAATTAAGATTAAGACGAAATACAAGCAATTACTGTTTTTAGATGATTAAAAACCATCGAAAAACAGTAAGAAGGTTCTTAACTTTTTTTAGCTCCGCCATTCCAAATTTTACAATTTTTGAAGCCCACTTGACGTTTTAGTCGATTTGATTTTCACTGCTTGAAAAAGTCGAGTTAAAATCATTGGTAAAAATAAAACAATTTTCACTGTTTCTAAGGGGGTTGGCTCATTTGTCGCTCTGCGATTTGACTAGCTGCATGTTTTGAAGCAGATTGATTCTTACATTGATTTCTGTCAAGTTTGTTTTTAACCGCGGTTCTCAAGTTCTCATTATAAGAAGAAAAAATAAAGTTCAAATACGATATCTTCGTCTCACATTTGCTATATAATTGATTATTTTTCAAATGCATTTTCTCTTCAAATACAGTATTTGAAGCAGTGTTTGAAGGCATACGGACAGCCTTCTTTCACCGTTTAATCTGCGCTCAGTATTTTATTTTAGTATTTTTTTACCCAAAATATAAAATAAGTTCAGTCTTTGTCCCGCTGAACAGTCATTTGGCCCACTAAAAAAAACTGTTCCCTATTATTACGGTTTTTCGAGGGTGAAGAGCCCACGGGTCAACAATATCAATCATATAAAAAATCTCAGTTCAGCGATGGTGGTTTAACAGCGGAGAAGTGGCTAAGTGTTCCAAGGAATTCCACCAAATCCCTCTATTTAAGAACTTAATCCATTCATTGGCCACTTTCTTTTTGCTCTAATTCGGCCTCTGCTGTAGATGGTATTAAATACAGAGGCTTTGACACACAGACTCTTCAGTTTGACTTTTCTTACCGCCCTTTAAACTCTCAAGCAGTCGAGGCTTGAGCTCAAATTTGAGCTAGAATTAATTGAGAGCGCTTCTGATTACATTAAAGGCTAATGGTTTTTTGATTTGCAGCAGATTTTTCCCGCTTTTGATTGACGTTGAAATTATTGTTTGTCTGCGTTATAGAAAAAATGATTTGCTCGTTTGTTCTAGCCATTATACAACAGAAATGTTTGTTATACCATTTTCCTCATTTCTGACTGGGAATTAACTGTTGTTTGTTACACCTGCCTGTTATTTGTAATACTTGAACCTGATTGTATCTCTAAGCCGACGGTCGATTAAATTCGCTGGATTTGTGTTGTATTGCTCTCGATTTTTGTTTAAAAAGTGTTGTCCATGTTAACATTTTACGATACCTGAGAGCTTTGATAGTTGCTTTGATTGAAACTTTAATCATATGGCCTCGTTCTTTAGATCAAAAGGCAAAAGTCGGAACAAGGATAAGGGTTCAAACGCAGAACCATTGGAGTTCACTAATCAGACAATTACCAAATCGTTCGACAATCTACTGCCCTACAACAGTTTGGTCATCTCCCCGTACGACACTGTAAACGTAGCCCCTGTCCCACCTTTTGAGCTAGAATACCCAGAAGACCCCGAAAACATGAGTTTGTCAGAGGCTAACACGATTATTAAGAAGCAGAAGTCTAGGATCGAAGACTTGGAGAGGGCGGTGAAGGAACGAGACGCGGAGATTGAGCAGCTGAAAGCGCATCTGGACATGACGAGGTCGGTGCTGAGTTTCCACGACTTGGAGCACAACAAGGATCCGAGTGTGGCGGGATCTCCGAATGCCGGTGTGGCAGGAGAGCCGAAAGCGAGTGTGTTCAAACAGAGAGGTATCGGAATATCGGCAGAGCCAACAGCCAATGTCAGTCTGAGTGAGATTAAGCTGATCAAGCACGAAAAGACAGCAAAGTAAGTGGATCTTTCTTGTTATTTCAATTGCAAAAATCAGCAGCCCTTAACTCTTTTGAGCTCATTCTTAATCTCTATCGTGAGTGCATATTGCATATAATATTTAAGAGCTATGAGGGTTTGCTCGGAGTGATTATTTGATATTTTGCCATGTTACGGAGACTAATTGATGGTCATTCAAGCTTTGCTTTATATCCATAGGAGGAAATGTGAAGTCTGTTGCAATGTGAAGTCTGTTGCCCTGTAAAACATTTTTCAAATTAGTTTCATTGAAGTATGAACCTTAATAGCAAGGCAAAGAGTGCCTTGTTTTATGAAAGACTTGATACAGCATGATGAAGTTTTTGCGTGAATGAGGTGTGAATTATTTTCTTTTCATTTCCCTCATAAAACAAGTTTTTCATAAAACAGTCAAATAACTTCATTTCATCATTTACTATATTTAAAGTATCTGAACAACTTTTAATTCGTGTCAATCGTAATGTACGACAGCGATAGTTCTGACGACGTCATCCCTCTGTTGTCCGAACTTGACACTCCGAAAGATCAGTTTAGTGATTTGGGCAAAGAATACAAAACTAAAGCTATTAATGATGGCCAAGTTCGCAAGCTGAAGAAAGCTAAAAAGGCATATATCAACGACCAGGAGTTTGGAAAAGGATTTTTCGACTTCAATTTTATCAATGAGCCCTATGTAAGCCCTCATTACGCCGATGGTTTGAAGTTTCAATCCGTTCATCAGAAATATTTTGACATTTTGGATCAAGAAGCAGCAAAAGTGGAAATCAAACAAAAAACGCTGTAGATACTTTTCGGTTTTGATCCGGTTTTTACAGACGAAAATTTGTGACTGGCTAATGCAATAAAAACGTAGTTTCTGCATTCGATAGGCATTCATAAAACTGTCAAAAAGCATTTTGATCAACAATCAGTTAATTAAAAACGTAATCGTAGTTACGTAAAATATTGATCGTTCAAGCTTTTAATCATTTGAATGACTTAAACTCGTAACTGTGGTACGAAAAAAAACGTGTTTGGACCGAATTGAAGAGTTCTACTGTGTTTTGACTGAATTAAAGAATCGGTGCTGGTCAGAAGCATTACGATGACGATGATGAGTTTGATGCAGACGACGGTAAAATCCGCCACTGGTTATCGATAACAGATGCATGTTGCAAAGATCCATGCTCATGTACGAATATTTGTTGCACTGCGTGCAATATTCTAGACATTATCAGAATGAGTAGAAGAAAAGCGATATTGGTCGCAGGTTTTGTGGTATTCGTCATAACGACTCTGGGTGTTGTAGGTACAAGTATTTCTCGTCGGTCGGCTTAAGGTTTTTTTTAATTGGAGAATTTTTCTCGGTAGACTCTGAATTTCTCTAATTACAGTTCGTCCAGCTCAGTATCAATATTTGAACTCAACCCGAAAAAAAATGTCTTTCTTTGTAATTGGTAGTCTCTTGTTACTACAATAGTGGACAAAATCAACGCAAGCGATCTTTTTTCAATGATTTATAAATCACTTAAAATAATTGGATTTTTGGTAGCTAATAGCGTATAGGATCAACGTCAGCCAGCATAATTTTGACCTGGCTTTGAATCAATTTTTATCAAACTAGCCGGAAAATTTCTATCATAGATATTGTAGTGCCGATTTCGTAGTTCGTCACCTTTGCGGAATTAGCCGAAACTTTTAAAGTTTTCTTTCAGCTGGTCACAGACATGTTCAATAGGAGGTAAATATGGCGAAACAAGAGGCTAGGAAGAACCCTAACTCGTTTTCTTCGCAAGTATTGTTCGTCAGCATGGGGCGTTGCATTATCTTTTTAAAAAATCCAATTTTCAGGGTACTGTCGCATAAATGGCACTACTTTGGTTCTCAGATGTTCTTTTATGTACCGTTGGCGGTTCAGTTTTTTCTTCAAGGAAGACTAAATTGGTTCAAAACTTTACAGTGATATCGTCAAAAACAATAAAGCCGGTTTCTTTAACTCTGATCTTTTTGCATTACGTTCATTTTTTGGTATCAGGTTTTTGGTAATTGATGAATTTAAGTCCTATCATACCGGAAGCAGAAACAAATTTCGTCTAAGTGAAAATTCCCTTCCTTGTCTGTTTCAGTGCAAAGTTTTGGTGGCAAAAAGTTTCCATGTTTTTGGCGTGGTTTAGACACAAATAGTCTTGGGGTCTGTAGCTTTTCAAACCCTGTTTTTTTTTTGATAATATTCGGGTGACAGTTTTTTGGCTTATTAAGAGTAATGAACGCAGTGAAGTTTCCTATATAGGTCTCTCTTTTTTTGTTTTTTATTCCAGGAAAAGTCTTAAAAGTCTCTAATAACTACAGATGTGCATTCATACATACTGATGCATTGATTAATACACTTAAGTATATATACACTTTTTCAGTTCAATTGAATTTCATCTGCTGAATGTGACGTCAATAGTACTCTCTAAATATGAACGTGGAAATGGCGAGAAAAAACGTGAACGATTTCTAGTTTCGAACGTGGAATGTAATTTTTAGATTTCCAGCGGAATAAAAACTTTGCCTGTTGATCCAGTTTTCTCAAGTTGGGTTAATATTATCAAAAAAGCACCAATCATAAATCGTTCTAGAAAATTGAAGAGCTTAAAGGGCATCCATTTTTTTTTCTTTTCAGTTCAAAAGTTGAGATTTTTTCAAGAAAGTCTTTTTTTTGTAGATTTACTTGCGTTCATTACTCTTTTCCAATCTTCGATTGGCGATATTATGCCTGTAAATTTCATGTTTGACCATTGTTAAAAGTATGTCTGCCAAAAACTCTCGAAAAGTTTGTGTTTCTTTGTCTTGTGGTTTTTTCGTGATGCGCCTTCCCTGGTCAGTTTGCAACAGTGCCAGATAAAATACATGTTTGGCGAGTTTTTTTGAAATGTTCGTTTTCGGCATCGAAAAACTAGTCAATTTTCTTCGAAAGTTGCTAAAAAAATTTAATCGGTTTATTTATGGTTTTTTGATGTTCAAAAACGTGGAGCGCTTGGGCAAATTGTTAATTTCCCCTGCAAATTCTAAGTTCTTCGTAAAAGTCAAGCTGCACTTATTTTTGTCCATTAGTGTATGATGGTTGTCTGAAGTCCAATTTTGATTGATTATTTTCGACCAATTTTTGGTGGATTTTATTTTTATTTTGACCAACTCTCGAAGAGTGTAGAGCCGAGATGGGACTATGGATGAAGGTTCGTTTTTTAATTTTTTCCTGCCAATTTTGACCACCTCAAGTGAAACATTACGGGTCAGTTGCGGCATCGTTGTAAAGCTCTTTTAATTGTGTTTCGGATTCAAAAATTTCCAACAATTTTTTCAATGTCAAAAATTAATCTGAATATTTTCAGTTTTCCACTAAATTAGACGAAATTTGCTGAGAAGTTGATATTTCTACTAGAATATCAATTTCACCAGCTTTATTTGTCGGAAAGTTCTAACGATATTCCGTAACGTTGTATTACTATAGCATGTGATCTTTCTTTCTTCATTTACTTCAATCGAATTTCCAGAAAATAAATTAGGAAATTTAGACAACCAAATACTAGAGATTTAAATTTTTTCAAATAAATTTCTATTACTTTCTATAAAGTTTTTTTTTTGTTTTTTCCTAACTTTGTTCAGAAATTTCTATGCTGTAGTACGAAATTTATTGCCCATTAGTTTTATCAATATGACAAATTTTAAACCCCATAACTTTATAAAACGTCATAGTATGAAACAGCATATATTGTGCAAGAAAAAATGTGTAGTTCGAATTTCCTGTTATTTATATTAGTAAGTGAAAGTTAAGCTGGGTGAAAAACTGCAAGAACGAGAACTCAATTTTTTGTATTTTTGTTTTATCCCCAGATTTTGTGCGTTTAGATGTACCTGTTTTCCATGTTTTTAAGTAATTTTGAGTAGCTTGATTTCTGTTAGTGCCTCTCTTTGTTCCCTTTGGAGTGTACTTTGGAATGGGAGCATATCAAGTTGGGTATTCGATAAGCCATAATGATCATACGCAAGCCGATGCTCATCATCATCACGAGCATGAAAAGCGACTATTTTCAATCCGAAATCTGTTCAACAGTTTCCATTTCGAAGGTGAAGACGCTATTTTAAATATTGATCCGAAATAGATAAATGATTTTATAATTTCAGTCTTTCTTCATTTCTAATTCACATAATAAGCTAGCTATCAGCATTGAAAAGGATATTTGCACTACGATATATCTCTAGATTAGGAAATTCCACTTCCGGATAATCTCTTAATATCTTCCCAGTCGATAAGATGAATGAGTTGAACTCAGGGAATGGCAATTTATCAGAAGTACTGAAAAGCAGAAAAAACTAATTCAGCATACTAGTAACTCGAAACTAAATACGTAGAAATTTGAAGAAGTTTCTATTGTTAAATGAATGACGCTTTTGCTTGACAATGATGCACAGAATATCTGTGAATTTGAAGTGAAGCGACGACTATTTTTTCCAGGATTGTTGGACTTTTTTAATGCTTGCCACCATCAAGCGTTATGAGTTTAAAAATTTTTTTGTCCGTGCTTCTACATTTTATAGCGAATTAAATTTTAAATTGAAGCAGAGAAATCTGTATCGACCATTAAAAAGTATTTTTGTGGAGATTATCTTGATTTCTATAGATTTTTCGGATCAATATTAGGTGAACCCAACATTGAGCTTAAAGTGAGACTTGAAGTTAGCACCCATGCAACAACAACGGTTCGAAAACAACACAACAATTTACTTACTAGCAGTTAGCTTCTGAATATTTGTTTCTTTAGTGTCAATGAACTCAGTGAAGACACTTACATAGGTCGTGGGGATTTTTTTTCGGTTTCCAGGAAAGCTTCAAAAGTTTTTCACGCTCAATGTGGTTTGTTTGCGGTTTGACTATTTACGCTGTTTTTATTTCTTTTTTATATTCATTTCAAATATAATGGGCGACATGGAAAGCGCATCAGTGAGATAAGATATGA